AGGTAAATGTGTTTTGGTTCGTGGCTCCACTACGAGATGCTTTGGTATGCCACATACATGTACGTACTTCATTTAATATTTTTCAAACTTTCAGGAATCAAAGAAGGTTTTGTTGCAGGATGTTTTGATTCGTATGCCTTCGAAAAAAGACGATTTTCTAAACTACCACTGAGGTCGTACTACTCATTCCATACCATTGAAGTGGATATCAGTAGAAGGGTTTTAAACAAGCTATCTAACGCTTTCTTTTGTGTTTATAAAATATAAATATGTCATAACGTTATCGCCTGAACACTAAATATCGGGCTGCTGAAAATAGAGATTTCGGGCATTTTCTCAAAAACTGGTCAGTCGATTTTATTCTTAGTTTCCACAAGACTAGCCCAAAAGCTTAGCTTTCATCTGATATCTAGCCTATATTTTGGAGATTATACGATTCAAATAGAAAAAATTTCGCTCCAAAAAGGGTCAAATGGTTAAAAATTAACATATTCTATTCTAATTTTGTTACTTTAAGATATAAAAATAACATACCTAGTTCCCCGAAAAAAGTATCCATTCCACGATTGCCTGTTAAACCGAAATTCCCTGAAAATCGATTAATTTTTCCCGCGAGTTGAAGGATGCAGCTGTGCTAATCACTTCGTACATGCCTTGGAAACCACAATTGGTGTGTATTTTAGAGTTTTTTTCCAGACACATGCCGAAATTGTAACAGTTTTCCCTATTTTAATTGTAGGTATGTACACAGTATTTAACTATGCTACATGGGTTTATCACCCGCACTTAACCTACATGGGAAGACGCATACAATGTTACCTACAGTTGTTCATAAATATGTATGTTTGATATTCCATGCCACTGATTGTTTAGATTTGATTTTTTTTTGTATTTGTAGCTCCTCTATCTACCTACATACATACATATCGTCGTTTAAAGCACAAAACCGCGTATCAAGAAAATGCAAAACCTCGTATGTGAAGTTGCCTTAATTTTATAAGCGAGAGTAAAATTTGTCTTATTTCAAAACGCTTATTTCTCTTATGGATATCCCTATAGGTTTACTACAGATTGCTGATTGTTATAGTAAAAATAATGAACGACTCATGCCACTACGTCACTTACTTGACTTTCAAAACGACAAGAATACTTTTGAGATCGATCTCTAAAATTAAAACTTATTGGAACGATTTATTTAAGTGTTTGAAATGATTGAGAGTGATAGCAATGGCTTCGTGCTACTGCTTTTCTATATCTCATTTCAAGAAAGTAAGATAGATCGTAGTTCATTTCCACCAAGCGTAAATTGCAGCTTATGCCTATTGGAAAAAGGAGATTACAACTCGAAGGGGATGTAATAAGTACGAGCAAATGAAGGTAAAAGTGCAAAAAGTAAGAAATTAACCTTGCTGATCACCCCATTTTAATATTCATGAACCTTATCTGAGCTCTTAACTGCAATTAAGCTGTTGGTGGAAATGGGCTATTAGTCTTTTAAGGTAATTTTTTAAGAATCTCATTTTATATGCAATGCAAAAATTCCAACTTTGAAGTATTTTGTTACAGGAACGATGCTGTTTTCTGTGTTTCTACTTACTAAAACTGCAATCATGGTAAGTTTTAAAACTAATTGCTTTTTATTATTTAAATTAAACATTACTTTTGGGCCTTTAAAAAGCATAGAGAATTCGAATGAGTTCGTTATTTTAATAATTTACAACATTTATAAGTCTTCTAAGGTCTTCTAAGACGCTTGAATTAATAAATACTTTATATTTACTTAAATAATGTATAAATACATAACGGCATATAATATAAAAAAATTTAAAAATAAGTACCAGTTCATTACGAAATTCCGAGACTCTATATACATGAGTATAGTAACTATAAACCAAAGCAATATATATAACTAACTAAGTACTTATATATAGTATTTTCGTGTGAATGTTAATGAATATTCAAATCCCTCTTAAGTAGTCAAAAAACTGTCGAATGTTTGTACAAAAGATGGGCGTGCAGATAAAAAGGTGGCAGGTGGGTAGACATTCGAACTACGTCTAATTGTTAATGAGTAAGTCAGAGGGCCTTCACTTTGATACTTTTTAGTATGCTTACAACTTAATACCTACGAAGTGTAGAGTACGTAGTGCTTCGGAAATTTCACCAACAATTTTATGTTTTCTTAGGGAGGATGTATTCATCCGGTAAGAGAGTGCATCTTAAAAGTTATTGTGGTTGAACTTATTGTTAGTATTTTAAATACAATAGCAACTGTATTCGTACATTTCGAGCTCATCTTATGACATGTTTGTATAAGTCGCACCTTGTATTTAGTACCTAAAATATTATATAGTATGCTACGAGAATACTTCGATTCCAAGTAAACTTTTCAATCCGTTTTTCCTTAATCCTTAACTTGTATTCTTCATGATGATAAGCGGCACCTCGGTGTAGTCATTAGTCAGAGGTAATCCTGATTCACTGCTCTCCGCCGTTTCGGGTAATACTAGGCGCGTTTCCCGCTTGCGTTGGCGGCTGTGGCGAATACTGTAGCTGAAGTAGATCATCAAACCAATGGCAATCCATATGCCGAAGCGTACCCAGGTCATTACATCCAGGCGTACCATCAGATAAACGTTGATGAAGATTGACAGGCCCGGCAGCCAAGGCACCAGAGGTACTTTGAATGCCAGCTGGGTGCTGGAATGCGGTTGACGAGAAATAATTAAAAGTATGAGTGGCAGAGGCAAGCCAGTAACAGCTAATAGGACGATATAGAACGGCGTTATGCTAGCCGGTTCGATTTCCACCTTCTGCAAGAAATGCGAGAATACAAAGCACCAACAAACTGAAAAGAGAAAACAGGCAAAGGAGAGCGTTTAGTTTAAGCGATATTTGCACTTTGTTCGCTGTTAACTCACAGTAAAGCGTTATCATGCCTGTCACTAGCCTGCTGCTCCTCTTGTTCGCCAGTGAAGTGTTGTTGGTGTTGAACAATTGCCGCCAAAGCATACAATTTCTTTGCCCATAGTCAACCAGAGGGCGTCCATTTCCTATGGAGCGACCATCCCTGCGATCATCACCGTCATATCGCAGAATGAGGACGCAACTTGCCACCATCGAGTAGGCCAGCAGCGTACCAATTGACATTATGCTCACCAGCTGGCTGAGTTTAAAGATGGCGGCGAGAAGACCAGTCAGCACGCCCGTGAGTAATGTGCCTTTGAAGGGTGTTTTGAAACGTTGATTGATCTCGCCCATGCATTTGAACAGCAGTCCATCCGAAGCCATGGCGAAGACGATACGTGGCAGTGGGAACATGGCACCCATCATACTGGCGCAGAGCCCGCACAGCGCCCCAATGGTAACCAAATACTCAGCAACCCACCAGCCATAACGGCTAAAGACATGCGGTAGCGGCGCCTGTTCGTCCTGCTCGAAATAAGGCAGCATCATGGTAAGTACAGTCGAGACTCCGAAGTAAGCTAGAAAGATCGTTGCGAGCGATGTGACCACAGCAAACGGAATGGATTTTTTGGGATTTTTAGCCTCTTCACCGGCAGTGGCAATACAATCAAATCCAATGAAACCATAGAAACAGACTGCTGCGCCGCGTATGATGCCCGTTAGACCGTATGGACTGAAGCCGCCATTGCCGTAGCCCTCGGGCACTTCTTCTTTGGGTATAGACCAATTGCTGAGTGAAACTATTGAAGAGTAAAGAAANACCGTCATATCGCAGAATGAGGACGCAACTTGCCACCATCGAGTAGGCCAGCAGCGTACCAATTGACATTATGCTCACCAGCTGGCTGAGTTTAAAGATGGCGGCGAGAAGACCAGTCAGCACGCCCGTGAGTAATGTGCCTTTGAAGGGTGTTTTGAAACGTTGATTGATCTCGCCCATGCATTTGAACAGCAGTCCATCCGAAGCCATGGCGAAGACGATACGTGGCAGTGGGAACATGGCACCCATCATACTGGCGCAGAGCCCGCACAGCGCCCCAATGGTAACCAAATACTCAGCAACCCACCAGCCATAACGGCTAAAGACATGCGGTAGCGGCGCCTGTTCGTCCTGCTCGAAATAAGGCAGCATCATGGTAAGTACAGTCGAGACTCCGAAGTAAGCTAGAAAGATCGTTGCGAGCGATGTGACCACAGCAAACGGAATGGATTTTTTGGGATTTTTAGCCTCTTCACCGGCAGTGGCAATACAATCAAATCCAATGAAACCATAGAAACAGACTGCTGCGCCGCGTATGATGCCCGTTAGACCGTATGGACTGAAGCCGCCATTGCCGTAGCCCTCGGGCACTTCTTCTTTGGGTATAGACCAATTGCTGAGTGAAACTATTGAAGAGTAAAGAAACAAAATTAATTTAGTATGGTGTTATCACTTTGGAGGAGCGCTTTATGCTAGCTTACCTTTGAAGAGTCCAGCGATGATCACAAAGAGCACCACACTCAAATTGAGGAATGTAAAGACATTGTTCAAGCGCGTCGACTCCTTGGCGCCTACAGCTATGGCCAAAGCGAATAGTACTGTCACGATCAGCGCAAAGAAATCTGGATAGTCGCCAAGACCCTCGATGTTCATGGCGAAATTTCTGCTTAAGTAATCGCGCATTGCATAGTTGAAAAGCTTATCTAGATAGGTGCTGAGACCTTTAACAACACTGGCGCCACCTATATCAAATGTGATGCAATATTAGTTATTAGATACATATACATAGTTAGCAACGAGTGAAAAGGTTATAGGAAATTCGTTTGTATATATATAAAATGTACGTACATTAGGGCGGGTCAATTTGTATGAGATTTTTTCGACTGTGAGCGTATAGCACATAAGGATTCTACGTGTAAAATAGGTTTCTTAGCAGTTTACTGTAGTGTGGTAAAGAAGTACCTAAATTTTGTATTAAAACATGATATAAGGGGTTTTTTGGTATGAGGAACGCGTTGAATCCTCCTATGCTATACGAGCACAGTAAAAAAAAAATTTGCCCGCCCTAATGTATATAAACACAAGTATGTAGTAGCTGTAATTTGTTGAGCCGCTAAAAGTCACACCAAGAGGAATAGAATTCTTCTGCGTTGCACATTTACGCACGCTAGCCAGATCGCATTGGCGAAAACCGCCAAGAAACCTGAACTTACTCAATTGTGCGGGCTACAATTGGCGATGGATGGTCGATATAATTAGGCACGTACATATGTATGTATGTTTGTATAAATATTTTCAATTAGATCAAATGAGTAGATTTGGTTACAGAACGTGTGATGTCAATGCGTACAGGAAAATGTTCGCATATATGTATGCATGTATTCAGATATGTGCAGACATAAAATTAAATTGAAAAACGCGACATAAATTGCAATCAATTAAGGGTGCTACAAAGTCGACTGGCAAATCGGAATTCAATTATGAAAGGAATTGAAAAAACTTAGCTATTGGGAGGACTAAGGGAACAAGTTCTAAAAGTGTGCTCTATTACTATTTGTATACCGAAGTACTCGTATGTATGTATGTATGTATGTAAGCATGTGAAAGGTATGCATGACAACATCCTTTTAATTTTCAAAAAATAATGTTTAATTGCAACCAGTGTTGCCAGTTTAGATATTTTTTAGCTATTATTTTCGGCATTTAGCTATAGAAATACGTCTAGCAATTAGCTCTTTTTAAATCGGGTTAGCTATATTAGCAACATTTTTTTATATTTTCAACATTTTTACACAGAATTTTATCATTTTGAATTGATTAGTTATCTTGAACTAGATATATAAACAATTGGCATTTTTTTACTGTGGTTATCAAACTATACAAAAAATGGTAGTAGATAGGGCATACCTAACACATTTTTCTTCTATCGATTATTAGTATGTAATTGAATTGCTGGTTTCATCTTTAATAATCAACCGCTTAATTTTGATCACAACTTTTTCTGACAAATATTGTAATTCACTAGGTTGTCAAAATGGAAATGTTATACAAATAAACAGTTTTTAAATGAATATATAAAATGGGCATCTTCAGCTACAACTTTAATAATATATGATAGTCATAATTATAATTTATTTTACTATTCCAATTCAATGTACATTAGAGTGGCAAAAACAAAATTCTGTGATATTTCAATAATTTCTATTTCTTATTTCTATATTTCTATAATTTCTGAGGCCTATAAAACCTCTTCTCATGTTTTATTTGTCAAATCGGGTGAAAAATAGTCAAGCTTTTAATAGATAAGTCCCTCAATTATGAAAAAAAACAGATTTTTTAATTAAAAAAATTGAGGGTTCAGGAACTATAAGAAACCTATGAGATATATGTAAAACAGGCAAATTTTTACAATATGAAAAAAAACACTCCAAAAATCCGTACAAAAATCCGTAAATCTTGACGGAAAGCTAAAAATCCGTACGTTGAATCCGTACGTAGTTGGACCTTGCATCTATAATGATATAGACACTTCTCAATCTGGGTGGTATCTCCTCTCTTGATTGCTTCTCTTTGTGTGAACTATTTCGTGCATTTAGTACATTGCATTACCCGTATTAGCGTCAAAATCTTTATTTAAGTTTCTAATTATTATTTATTACATTGGCTGTAAATCCTTAAAACTCTTTGTTATTGTTAGTGTTCGTCTTTCAATACTTAACCCAAGCGTAATCCACAAAATTGTTTAACTTCTACATATCCAATTTGAATAAAAAATAATAAATTATGATTAAATTTAGTTAATTTAAATGGCTCTCCTATTTTTCAAATTGGGATTTTTCAAAAGTAATTTTTAATATTATGTATGATCCCTGTTGTAGTCAAAAAGGGGAATTCTTATTAATATTTCTGGCCTCTACCCTTTAAAAAAATCTATGGGGCGAACACTTCCAATAAGTTAGTGTCAAATCTTCCTTCTCGCTCTTATTACTTCACCTGGTATTATTCCGCTATGGGCATGCAGTGTTTGTTTACATTCATTTTGTTTTTCTGTTCCGTTTTCAATTGATGAGAAGTCAAACGAAATGCGAATCAAGCCATCAAATGACTGATTTCAAATCACGCATTTGGGCTCAATGTAGTAAATGTAAAATAACACAGAAATCAAAAGCTCTTTTCTTGATAAATTATCAAGATTGAAAGTGCTATTGACAAGTGTTTACAAATTCAAATTTCATATGGAAGTTATAAATTTTGTATACTAAAAAAATCGTTTCTCTCATTTAAATACTGCATGTGCTGGCATTTGAACTGCGACACACAGAATTTATAGCCGACATCCATGATACAATAATTTTTAGAAGGTAGTTTCACTTCTTCTTCTTATCCGCCATGTTAGCTATCTGACACAAAACGCGTTTCGTATTTTTTGTTGTACCAACTTTTTCAAAAAAAAAAATCCAGCTTTTGACGTTGGAAAAATAAAACAAAGAAAAGCCAAACATATAAGTAGAGAAATTTTCGAATATTTTGTAATAATTTTCTCCATAAAAAATTAACTGCTGCTTTCGTGGATATTGCAACACACGGAATGGATGTAAGGACACAGCTATAAGAGCCACCGCACACCACAGACTTTAACGGCCGCCTATTTAAATGATAGGGCTCGCTTGAAATATGTACATACATGAAGATGTATGGAGGTGCGCACATTACATCAGCTTAATCGCTCTGACCAATAAGTTGTGGTGCAATGGAAAGACTAGCGAGCACATCTAAATTGGCGGCCGATAAAGTCCGTGGTGTGCGATGGATCTTATCCATTATAAACAAGAAATATTGCTGTTATGTTTTCATTTTTATGATTTTTATTCATGTGATAAGTTATGAAACATATAAATCTTTACATGTTCTGTTAAAAAATATCTAAAATAACAAGCGATAATCCCCAAGTTCTATATCGTAGCAGTGGCCACATTGCGTGTTTGTCACAGACACGGTTTATGTCAAAAATTTTGAAGTGAAACTACCTTCTAAAAATTATTGTATCATGGCCGACATCTATACCTGCGATTTATTTAGTTATTAATTTTTTTCGCTCCTGCCCGAGTGCTTTTGCTTTCATGCCGCGTGACGCACGGACTCCCAGCGAGCATGGTGCAACCAGAGAACGCACAAAAAAAACTTATTTATAAAGATATGCATAGATTATTTACCATAATACTTTTTAAAGCTGTATACATAAATATGTACATAAATAACATGCATATTTATATAGGTATTGTAAATTTGTTAAAGTGCGGCTTTAACGAGTTCACCCACGACTCTAAACAAATTCGAAAGAACTCTAATCGAGAAGTAGTAAATATTTCCATTCGTTTAAACAAATTTTTTAATTATCATTTTTTTTTTTTGTATGGTTGTAAACCGAATAAAGTGATTTGTGGGAAAAATTCTTGACCGTTCAATTTTGGGTTTTTCGCTCATATCTACATACTATATTACAAGAAGCATTAAAAATACATTTCCATATCGATACTCACCAATTGCATATTCTAATATCAGATTCCAGCCAATAATGAAGGCCATAAATTCACCAATGGTTACATAACTGTAAATGTATGCTGAACCGGCTTTTGGCACGCGTGCGCCGAACTCAGCATAACAGAGACCGGCGAATATCGAAGCAATCGCTGCGATTAAGAAACTTATGACTACAGCAGGACCAGCATATACCTTGGAGACCTCACCGGCCAGCACATAAACGCCGACACCCAATGTTGAGCCAATGCCAAGCGCTGTCAAATCAAAGGCGGACAAGACCTTGGCCAATTTTGATTCGGTTGTATCCTCCATGGGTTTGCGGCGTGTGAGTACATGATATGCACCGGATATGCTAAGTGAGGGCATTCTGCAGGGGAAAGATTAAGAAAGGCAGAAGGGTGAGTATAAATATGAATTAGTTTCTTAGTATTGAGTAAATAGTGTGTAAGTGAGTAATTCAAAGTAAAATATTTTGAAGTGTAAACATATTATATTTACTGGTAGGTACGCGTAGTGTGTCGTTTTTAAGCGATAGGGCACGGTTTTGCGGTGCTGGTTTGTTAGGTGTAAAAATTATGTAAATACAAATGCTAAAAAATAAGAGCTGTGGAGGATTATGTAATATTTTGGATTGTAAGTAGTTGTAAAAATAGTAAATTTTCTGTAAGTGGTTTGTGCTTTAAATTCTTATGGTTACAGTGAATAGCGTTTACTTCACTTTTAGCAGCAGAAATCAACTTCAGCTCATAGAGAAAAACCCTGTAGTTGACATACTTAGCTAACTATTTTTCAATCACCAAACAATTAACATATTTTTAATCACATTATTTCTAAAAAATGAAAACTATAATATGTATTGATGGTTTTCTCATACGTATGTGCATATCCAGTTGGTGAAAATGAGCATTTTAGCACGTTCTGATGTAAGTGTGAAATTGGAGACATTCGCGAGCAGTGTATATGAAATTACGATAAATACTAGATATGAATATTAGTTATGTATATGCATGTATGCGTATGTAAGAGCTATTAGCGCAAATGTTGTGATTCGTCTATGTACATATATCGATTCAAAAAAAATGAAAGAGATGAGATATGTACATACATATGTATGTTCATTAGGGCGGTAAATTTTCCAATTGGCCAAATTGCGAAGAAAGGTTTCTTAGCATTTTGCTGTAGTGTCGTTTTGTATAAAAACATGATACAAGGAGTTTTATGGTATGACGAATCCATTTCTGCACTTATCTTTTTCTTAAAATTTCCCCCGGAGGGCGAAACAGTGAAAATTCACATTTTCTTCGAAACCTATTTTCGCAATTTGGCAAACTCGAAATTGATTTTAGACCCATGGTTTCTTCGGCAAATTTACTTAGAATTACACGTACAATCCTCCTATGCTATACACGCATAGTAAAAAAAAAAATAAATTGACCAGCCCTAATGTACATACTATATGTAAAAGATATTTAATATAAATATTTTTATAAATGCACTTAATACTTTTTAGGCGGCTATTGCTTTTACATTTCTACAAATACGAACAACCTCTTAACCGCAATTATAAAATGGGCACGAATGAGGATCACAAGACGTTAAATAAATTTCTAAAAAAAAAACACAAACAGCAATAAACTTTGCGCCATTCTCCAATTAACACTTTTAATAAAAGTTTCGGTAGAAAGGTGAGATTAAATGTATGTATGTGTGTTTGAGTTTCGTAGTGAAATTATATTCGTTATTTTTCGATTTTATTTATATCTTCATAAACGTTATTCGAGGTGCTATAAAATGAGTCAATTTGGGTAGCTAAAAAAACTGTGGAGAAAAATTGATTGTACAACTTCGCTGAATTGGTGCGTTATAGTAATCAAAAAGCAAAACTACAGCTTTCAATATGAAAACGAAATGTGGAAAAGTAAGCTACTTACAAGCTGTCGGCATAGCTGCGGAAAAAATGCAACTCTTTTTTTGCACTAATGACCTTCGAGGAAGTACTCAGGGCCGCTACTTCCGTAAAGATTAATAATTTTTGACTTTTTACGTACTTATGTATATACATATATGTACATATATGTATACATACATATGTGTAGACAATATTTACATATTCAATCCCAGTAAATTTCATTTGCGATTTTGGTTTACAAAATTCATAGTTTTGGGCTTTGAGTCACAGACAGTTCCGTAGTGCCGCTTTGAAATAGTTTTTAAAGATAGTTCTGATGCGGCTTCTATTAGTCGACAGAAAGCATTAGGCCCATAAAGTTAAAGTAAATGATTGTGCAAGTTCCATTTTAAAATAGTTAATGATTTCTTGTAATAAAAAGTTTTTTTTGCGCCATGTTTCGGCATTAGATCAGCTCGTGTTTATTATAATTGTCTCTAAAACTATTGTTTCTTTAAGAAAATTTCACATTCAAAACACTGTTCTATATCACATTAAGCGCCACTGCCTACCTTTGGCCGCTAAACGCAAAAGAAAACTTATTCTTCTCCACTAGTTTTTTTTCGCTTTTATCTTGCTTTTTCCTTTTTTTTTTGCACCACCTACACACCTCAACACTACGCCAAGTATAAACTGCTACTGTTTGCACTTCAGCTTTGAGCGTTACTTAAATAGTACGAACAATCGGCGCGCGCATTCTTCAAATCCCGAAGCAAACATTTTTCTTACTNTAGAGAAATATATAAACAAAATTAGGGTAAAGCAATTCGCTAAAGGGGTTGAAAATTTTAAGATTCTAATAGTTTTTACTGACTGGAAATAGTTGGAGGGATGCTGATCAATTTTTACTGTGTTCAAGTTTTTTCTATTGTATGCATTCCATGCAAAAATCGTTGTACAATGCGATCTATTTGTGCCATATTAGAGTACTTACAAAATACTTATCTGTAACGCCTCTAAACCAGCTTATTATTGTCCATCATTGCTGGTGTTTGTGGGGATCGTAATCCCTATTCGATGTTTATTGGGTTGTGTTGCCGAGAGGTAAGCCCTCCATGGAGTTAATCCCTTGGGATAGTTTTGTGATACTCTGATGATATGCAGAGCTGAAGTAGTATATGGTCCTCCCCTTTGACATTTGCTGTGTTAATTGGACTACATTTTCTATATGCATTTCGGTTAATTTTGGTGTATGTACTCCATGGAGTTGACCTAAATCGCCTTGGGCCCACTGTAAACACAGGTACAGCTTCCATTGATATCTTGACAAAAGAAAGAGTAAGAGTTTACTCCCGTAAGCAATAACATGACGCTGACAGCTGACCAGTGTGACCACTTTGTGGGTAGTTCCTCAAAACGTGAGGAATTTTGGGTGCGCTTGAGTATTTTTTGAGGATTTTTATTTTGAGGAATTTTATCTATATATTTGCAGATAACAAATGCAAACATGTTTTACACAACGGAGTACGCTCTGCAATTTTGTTAATAAAAAACTTTCGGAAGTTTTATAAAGAGCGAAATACACCACACAAGCGGCTTGCTAAGCATTCTTCAAACTTACTTTTCCCATTTCGCCAAACACCATGCAAACTTGACTCGTCCAAGCAAAGAATTTCAGGTTTCTTCCGGTTCACAATGTAAAAGAGTTTGGTTTTTCTTCGATTTTTGTCTCTTGCCTCCTCATTCGGCGAAAATTCCGTTACGAATGAGACGCTTTTACCATACACAACGTAAGCGGTTTGATCAAACGTCAACGTAACGGCCAGAAAATCAAAAAAATTTTACTTTTTGTTCACATATCCCTCAAACGGCTTGTCAAACCTTCAAACACCCCCATACACAACATATATAAATAGCTTTAAGCAAAGGTATATTTCGTTTGGTTTATCAAACTGTTTGTGTGGTCGCTTATGATTTGCTGCTAAATATTCAAAATGTTTTCGATATTTTATTCATTCCATCGTTATATTAATTAACTTTTTTTGAATTTGCAAAATTTCGATAACGAATGGAGAGATTTCGCCTTGTTCGATCACAAGAATATTCATATTGATTCTTCATTCGATCCAGAAATTTATATGAAAGTTTGTGAATCAGAAGATTCTTCAGGTTCATATAAGTTTCCCAATAAAAAAAATATATCTGCATTACTATTATAGCCCGTTTCTAATGCTTCAGTTGAATGTAGATTTAGTATCTTAAAAATGCATAGGACTGACTTGAGGACCAGATTGAGCACTGATATAGTTGCAGCAATCTTCTATACATATAGGCTGCGTTTCTTTATACATTCCGGATAATCCCATTTCAATAAAATTGTAACAGGTCGATGTCTGTGCATTATAGATATAAAAAAAAATGAATGTGGGGGGTCTTCATTAGAGCACCAGAAGCCAAATCAACCATTTTTAGAATGTCTGTCTGTCTGTCTGTATGTTAGCACGCGCATCACTCGAAAACGAATGCATAGATTTGAATGCAGTTTCCACCGATGTATTGCTAGATGTCTAACTTAAAATATAGAAGGAAAAAAATTAGAGAGTTGCCACCTGTTTGAAACTTGCAGTTTAAGTAAATTGATAAGAAAAAGTGTATATTGCAATATGGGCGTTAAAAGAAAGAGGCTTAAGAAGGCTTATATCCAAAAATATTTTTCAGAGTTGCCACCTGTTTGAAAATTTTAATTTACCTTAATTTATAAGATAAATTGAATATTGCAATATGGGTATCAAACTGAAGAGGTTTAGGATATTTTACTGCCCAAAATATTTTAAGGGAGGGTTGCCACCTGTTTGAAAAGTTGTATAGTGTTAAATTGATAAAATAAATGAAATATAATGAAAAAATTCGGAAGAACGCGAAAAGTTTGAATAATTTTTCGACGAAATTTTTCAATTTATCGCATGATTTGATAGTTTTGGATAATGTAAAGGTGGAAAATTCGTCGGAAAGCTTGTAAAATTTTGGATGATTGTGAAATTTATTGTGAGCATGAATCAATTGGCAACTTGTTTCATAACCGATTCGAATGGTTGTTGCTTTTTTGGAAAGGTTTTTAGAAGGAGGAGTGCACAAAGTTTTAATTTTTCCGATAGGTGGCGCAGGGGTCGAGCTACGCTAAAAAAAAGAGTTTCATACGTAGGTAGTCTTTTGGCCTAGATTAGCATATAGGATAAATCTCAATCTTATTTATGGTGCGACTTGCTTGAAATTTGGCATGTATTGACAGGATTAACATATAGGATACTTTTTTCTAACAGGTGGATCAGGGACCGATCTATTCGAAAAAATCTTATTTATGGTCCAATTTTCTTGAAATACAATACCCGTATTATAGATATGCCTAGAATAGAATCGAGTTATTGTTTTATAGCTCGAAAGGTGTTTGAAGGCGGCGCAAACATGCGGGTTTTGGCTATTTAACTGTACTTATTACACAGGCCAACAAAAACGCATCAATTTCATACACTCAGCAAAGCGGGTGAAAGCAAACTAATACATATCTACATACACACATGCATAAGCGTTTTTCTCGAGTGAATGTCGATACACGGCTGTGGACAGCATAAATGTTTATTGGGAGATGTTTGGTATTTTGTGTTCGCCACTGTATGCACTCATATTCCTACTGCAATTTTATCAGAAACCATGTAATGGGTGAGGGACCTGCGGTTATCAAAACTAAAAGTAAAATAAATTTACAGAAGAAAAATAATGCGGAAAAATAACAGAACATTGTGTTACCGACTACCAAACTCGGTGTGAAGACCTCTATTATTTATCTAAATACGTTAGACCGTAACAAAAAAAGTTCAATTTCTTCTATACTCTCTATGACGGTATTTCAAGAGTAATGAAACTGTTTGCCAGATATAAAGTCTCTAGGAAAAATATTAACCCATTTTCATTAAACCAAATAATATCAAATAAAGAAGTTATAAAAGAGCCATTTAGGTATTTTACAGGGTGCGAAAAAAAAGTTACACTACTGAAATACTCTTAGTGTGTATCCGAAATCACTTGGAACAAATTCTAAATTTTTTTGGGATACGGACTAATGTACATACATAGGTATGTATCTGCAAAATTTGTATGTGTATACATATAAGTAATCACAGAAAATTCAATTACAGAAATTGATAAGCGAGTTCAGTCCATTAACTTATTTGGCAAATAATATACATTTAAACATGTACATATGTATGTGAATGTATGTATGTACCTACATACATATAATATTATCTGTAACTGAAGATAGAGCGTAAATGATAAACAACGTTTTGTTTGTAATTTGTTAAAGTAATATACATACGTAAATTGTACATACATAATTGTAAAAATTTATAAGATATATGTATACGTATCTATGTTCTACGAAAACAAATATTTGCGCACATTTATTCATGATTACTTTACTAAATTGAAAAAAAAATGCCTATATATAGTGCGTAAATATTAGAGACCGTAAAAGTTATGGCTTTCAATTTGTATCTTAAAGCATGCGAAATATAACGATAGTGCCGGGATACTTCATCTCAAATAGTCTATCCTATCTTGAACGCCGTGTGAACTCGATGAACTCTCCGAATTTTGTACTAACTCCGCCCTGTCAGGCAAGCAATCATAACTTGGACGAGCCTATTTTTTGTGTCGTATATATTACGCTGCTAAGCTAAGGAGTCTGAAATTTCAGCTTTATAAATTCGACAAATTTTGCTCCAAATTTTGATATTTTCAATTAGATTTCTAATACCTAGCCATTTTCATGAAAGCAATTCAAGTGAAAAATGTTTTTTCCAAAAATTGCTGGTGAAACCGATAGTAAAATAAAATGCGAATTCGCAGTAGTTAGGATTTACCTTTGATTTTTGGCATATTTTTGTTGAAGGTGTGGTGCTCATTTTCTCTAAATACAAACAATTCTCGAATCGGTTTTTCGTTAAAAAATTGCCAAAAATCAGCGGTAGGTCCTAACTACTTCAAATTTGCTCTTTATGGTACTAAAATTTAACAGGCTATAAAGCTGCATACACATTTTTTTTAGAAATTCAGATTGAAAAGTTTAAAGCTTTGCTATAATTTTATGGAATTTTTCCTAATTTTTGCATAAGTTTAAAATTCGGAATTACATGATTTTTAATAGAGGACGGGCTATACATACATATAAAAAATAATAATGATAAACATTAAATAAACAAAAAATATTAAAATCTCGCGACCTTGTTTAGGTTTTTATAACCGTTCCTAGATAAAATTTAACCCTTTTAGTATTATATTTTTTATTTGCTTTAAAGAGTATTTTTTGCATAGCAGTTATATATGAAAGTCTTATTAAGAGAATGTTCTAGGGCTTATATCTCCACAGTTAAGGGTTAAATAAGACTTGTGTTCCGCAAACTGTTTTCACCATTTTCTTCTATGTGAAAATACTCAAGCCGATTTGCTCCTGAATAAGACTCGGCAACTCTGCAAGGTAAAAAAAAAAACTGCCAACAAGCTATTACCGCTCTCTACCTCTATTTCTCATACGTTCTCTTTCCACTCACTTTTCTACCATCTGCCATTAACTCTGCGCTCTTCACTAGCCTATGGGTTAAGTTAATTCAAACAAAGTTATTTAATACAACGCATGCTGCCCACATGGCACAGCGATCAGCTGTATTCGACAGGGAATACTAATTAGTTTGCTGTTTTTGTTTTTGTTGGGGAATACGTCTTAAAAAGACTAAATTGAATTTGATGCGTGTGTAAAAATAGCTACTATCGCGGCATTTTGCAGTCGTTCGGTGCACATTTCTGCGAATACTTGTGGGTTGTATGTATGTATGTATATACAACAACTATGCATGCATGAATGTGAGCAGCTGCGATTGGGTATTTGCGAAACAAATGTTAAGATATAGTATGTATGTATATTTCCTTTAACTGCAACGTTGGCAATGTGATATATATCTAAGCCCTTTCCGTGCCCTTTGTCGCCAGGAAACAAAGAGTCGCGATTTTTCTAAACTCACCCGCAACTTTCCAAAAGCTCCTCCATGACTGCGTGTGGCCTTCAATATATTAGTAAATGTGTATCACTGTAATTAAACTTTTCCGTTTTGGTTAAATTTCTGTATTTTGTTTTTTTAATTCACAATTTTCCTAAGGCATGGGACTATAAACTGTGCTATGATTTTATTGATTAAGTAACGAATTGTTCACAAAACACGCGACGACCGGCATTGAATGGAGCGTTCTTCTCATGCTGCGTTTCTACAGTTAGACGGCTGACAAATGAATAACGAATCCATGAGGTGGCTATGAAATGTTGGTACTCGTATGTTCAGTGTATGGCAAAGGTGGTGTTATGTATATGTACATATG